ATTCAGAGGGCAAACTCCACTCAGCCTGTTAATATTAGAATAAGCAGCTGTGAAAGCAAGATTTGTTTTAAAAGCTGTGAGTATAGTTCAGACAAAATCAATATTACTTCATTTGTTCAAAAAAGATTTAAAAAAAAAAGATAAGTTAAAAGGAACACTAAGATCAGAGAGGAAGGCATTCTGGGAAATGTAAATGAGCAAATATTCTCATATCGTTTTTTGTCTTTTAAGAAACAATTATTAACTTTTGTGACTTTATAGGAAGAAAAACTTAATGTAACATTAAACTGCAATTACTATTATTCCAACTTTATTTAGAATCTTTTCATGTACATTTATAAACTTTACATTGTAATAAGTAAGGTACACCCCTAATATGTTCTACTTTTGGCTTTTTCATTTTTGGTTTTATATAAATATGTCCATGTACTGATGTTAGCACACTTGTCGTTCTAACATCCTATCGTTGACATAACCCCTACATACTTGGTAATTGGAGAGTGAGTGAGAGGGTGTTCATACCATTACAAGGCCTTTCTCCAACCGCAAATTGACTTCGTATGTGTAGAAGAACAGCCAAGTGGAACAGTATAAACAAAGAGGAAGGAAAGTTATTATGTGAAGAATGTTATTATGGTTGTTATTTTCAGGAATAAGTTCTCAGTAACTTATGTTTGTGAAGCTTTATTTAAAAAAAAAAAACCCAACAGAGGCAAGGTAATCATTCATTTCAACATGTTGGAGGAACAGGCTTAAGAGACTTGTGTGCCAGTTACGAAGTTATTGTCTACTAGGTGAAAATCACCCTTTCACATTCTGTGATGTTGGAGCTGAGACTGAAAACCACACGTCCATTTTGCCAGCAGATCCATGTCTGGCTCTGTCCATAGGGGCATTAGGGGAAGTCTTCAACACTGGAAGGAAGAAGGAATTTGTCTCTTCCTAATTGCTTCCTGGTGACTTCCTGTTTACTTCATGTGTGGCTTTTGTCTACTGTGTGTGACTTCCTGTCTTCTTCCTGGTGATTCCCTGTCTACTTCCTGCATGACTTCTTTCTCCTGTGTGTGGATTCTTATCTTCTTCCTGGTGTGTGTGTGTGTGTTTGCTCAGTATTACTCAGTCATGTCTGACTCTTTGTGACCCCATGGACTGTAGCCCACCAGGCCCCTCTGTACATGGGATTCTCCAGGTAAGAATACTGGAGTGGGTTGCCATTTCCTTCTCTAGGGGATCTTCCTGACTTAGGGATAGAACCCAGGTCTGTTTCCCACTGTGCCACCTCAGGGAAGCCCTGAGACTTCCTGTCTGTGTGCTTGCTCCTGCTTCTCACCCTGACTGCCAGCGTTTCTTCCTGAAGTATCTGAATTCAGATCAAAGCTGGGACTCAGAATTTTGAGAAAGGGCACAGACTGACTGCTGTCTGTTAACTGAGTGGGTGAAATGAGGCTGATCCTGTGATCATCAGGAACAAAGTTGGATACTAGAACCAACCGCTACCACTGAGGTGATAAGTCACTGCAGGGGAAAACTGTTAGAAGAGCAAGCAAAACTGAAGGATCAACTCCCTTCTCTCTATTTCTACCTTTCAGTCTCCTATCCTGCCTCAAATTGATAAAATCTAACGTGGCAAAGAAGATATATTTTTCTCAGAGTCTCAGCCCCATTTCACAGAGCAGCTCAAAGAAAAATTGATTTAGAGTTGAGAGAAAACAGCTTACTAATTGGCACAAGTGCTATACTAAATAAGAATGGCAAGGACTTCCCTGGTGGTCCGGTGGTTAAGACTCCGTGCTCCCAATGTCAAGAGCCCAGGTTTGATCCCTGGTCAGGGAACTAGATCCCACATGCCACAACTAAAGACCCCCATGTACGGCAATGAAGATCGTAGGTCTCAAGGGCCACAACAAAGAGCTGATGCAGTTAATTAAATGAATAAATAATTGTATTTTTAAAAGGGGATGGTGATAGACCAGATCATGGCTTTCTTCCTATATTTAAAAGAGGGATGATGCTAGTATCTTTCATTAAGTATAAAGATTATGGACAGGAGAAGGAGACGACAGGATGAGATGGTTGTATGGCATCACCAACTCAATAGACATGAGTTTGAGCAAGCTCCGGGAGATGGTGATGGACAGGGAAGTCTGGAGTGCTGTAGTCCATGGGGTCACAAAGAGTCAGACACGGCTGAGCAACTGAACTACAACAACAACATAAGGACTACCAAGTAGTTCAGACGTAAAGCTAAGATTCATGGCTGGACTATTATCAGCCTTAACTGATGAATCCAAAACCAGTAATCTCTGAAGGTTTACTCGTTCAAGAAGGACTGGCAGTGAGACGACCCTGGTGCCAGGCATGTGTCGTCCAGCTACGTGGATCAACTGAAGGGCGTGTCCCTGTTTTCAGGTCCAAGAGCAACGTTAACATGTGGGGAGAAATTGGCAAGCTAATATAATTGGTTGTAATATATATTGACACATAATTAACTTTGATCAAGATCCATTCAACTAGATGAAGTTGAATATCCTAAATCATGTTCTGAGTATGAGTATATTCAATTTCTGACTTGTCTTGGAGTATAGCATTAAGTTCAGTTCAGTTCAATCGCTCAGTCATGTCCGACTCTTTGCGACCCCATGGACTACAGCATGCCAGGCCTCCCTGTCCATCACCCAACCCCCGGAGTTCACCCAAACTCATGTCCATTGAGTCGGTAATGCCCTCCAGCCATCTCATCCTCTGTCATCTCCTTCTCCTCCTGTCCTCACTCTTTCCCAACATCAGGGTCTTTTCAAATGAGTCAGCTCTTCACATCAGGTGGCCAAAGTATTGGAGTTTCAGCTTCAGCATCAGTCCATCCAATGACCACCCAGGACTGATCTCCTTTAGGATGGACTGGTTGGATCTCCTTGCCGTCCAAGGGACTCTCAAGAGTCTTCTCCAACAGCACAGTTCAAAAGCATCGATTCTTCGTTGCTCATCTATCTTTATAGTCCAACTCTCACATCCATACATGACCACTGGAAAAACCATAGCCTTGACTAGACAGACTTTTGTTGGCAAAGTAACGTCTCTGCTTTTTAATATGCTATCTAGCTTGGTCATAACTTTCCTTCCAAGGAGTAAGTATCTTTTAATTTCCTGGCTGTAATCACCATCTGCAGTGATTTGGGAGCCCAGAAAAATAAAGTCAGCCACTGTTTCCACTGTTTCCCCATCTATTTGCCATGAAGTGATGGGACTGGATGCCATGATCTTAGTTTTCTGAATGTTGAGCTTTAAGCCA